CACACACACATGTACATCTTCACTTGATCAAGGATGATGTTCTCTTTTATCAAGTTCTCATGTGGGTTTAAATCCTGAATGTTTTTAGTAGGTCTGATTGGAAAAACCTTGAATCTTGCAGGCCACTGAACAAACATCTGGTGCATATTGTATGTTTTAATCATTTAACTTCCTAACTTTTGCTCTCTAAATATCTAAACATTCTTAAATCAAGATGCATTTACTTGGAAAAGGTAAATTCTTATTTACTTAAGAAATTACTTAAGATTACGGAGCCCCTAAAGGGACATGGTGGTGGAAAAAAAATTCGGGGTGGGAGGACATTTTTTTTGCGGAAAATCTAAAATTTTCAAAGCTCTATTGTAAAGGCATTTAACCTGATTAATTATAGATTGATTTGTCTGAGCCCAAATGGCTAATCCATATGCCATGTGTGATAATATCATCGAATTTAAAAACAAAAAAGCATGATCATATGTTAAACAATTTCTTATTATTCTAAAGCTGGTAAGATTTGCTTTAATCGTTTTACGCAACTTTTTAACATGACTTTTAAAATTTAACTGAGAATCTAAAATCATACCAAGATATTTTTCTTCTGATACTTGTTCTATAATCTCATCTTTAATTCTAATGTTTAATGATTCTGTTACCGGTAATTTTCTTATTGAAAAGCATATGGTCTTTGTCTTTTTAGTATTTAAAGTTAAAGTTAAAGGCATCAAGCCAAGCTGACACTTTCTCTAAGTTTCTTGTCAACTTTTCTTCAATTTCCATACAGTTCCTACCAGATACGTAGACAACCGTGTCATCAGCATACATTTGAAGACTCGCATCAGGACACACTTCTGGAAGATCATTAATATAAATGCTAAAAAGAATCGGACCCAAAATTGTTCCCTGAGGAATTCCTATATCAATATTATGAGGAACTGACTTAAAATTATCAATGACAACACTTTGTTCACGATTTTTTAAATACGAATCAAACCATAACAGAGATTGTTTTGATATATTATACTTTGTTATTTTTGACATTAAAATATTATGATTTACGGTATCAAATGCCTTTTTCAGATCCAGGAATACTGCACCAACTTTAAATCCTTTATCGAGTGACCGCTTAATATTTTCTAATAATAAACAAGTAGCAGTGTTACTATAACAGTAACACTGGAGGCCCAATTCGGTATTAGGCCTAATAAACATTATTAATACTAATAACAATTGTAATATGAATGACCTCATTAATAGCATTACTATCAGTAAAGCAGATAATATAATGCAACGTTTCTCCCCCATTTAAAACCGTTAGGCTATAGAAAACGCTTAAGGGAGGCTAATGGACGAAGACGGAATAGGCTAAAACCAAAATATGGTACACAGTTTATTAATAAAAGTGAAGAATATGACATAAAACATGACATACAATGAATAAGGCTAGAAAAACATTGCCTCTATAACAGTAAAAATACACATGTAAATCAGTTTAAGGGGCAAATATGGTCCCTTAATGGAAAAGGTGTGACTGCGGTCTAAGTGGGGGTGCTCAGAAGAATGTTAGGCTAAATGCCGCAGGGGGTACGCCATTGTAAAAGGTTTGAGAACCACTGGCTTAATGGATTACTGCGTTGATTGCTTGTAGTATATTTTTAATAAAATACAAAATTTGGGCTGTTTATATCACTGTCTTGTTATATTAAGCCACGTTAAGCGCGTTTTTCTATGGGGAAGAAAATGCTTGTGCAATTCATGTACACAGAATATATTTTTAATCATGTCTATAGCATATTTGGTCTTTTTAATCACAGTCTTCATTAAGCCGCATTTTTTTTTTTTGTGGGAGGAAACGGAAATGCCCTAGGGGTACGCCATTGTAAAAGATTTGAGAACCACTGGCTTAATGGATTACTGCGTTGATTGCCTGTAGTATATTTTTAATAAAATATAAAAGTTGGGCTTTTTATATCACTGTCTTCTTATATTAAGCCACGTTAAGCGCGGTTTTCTATGGGGAAGAAAACGCTTATCATGCAATTCAGCTCATATGGGCTCATCTGCTTGCATGTACACAGAATATATTTTTAATAAGTTCTATAGTATATTTTGACTTTTTTTTATCAACGTCTTCATTAAGCCGCATTTTCTTTATGGGAGGAAAACGCTTCTGTTCTTACCTGCTTTCATGTATAATTTATTAATAAACTGTATACCGAATTTGGCCTTTTTATACCACTATCTTAGTCCATTAATTAAGCATTTTCTTTCTATGAGGGATACTCTTAAAGTGCAATTCAATTTACCGGGTTACGTTCATATTCTGGGCTATTTTGCTTGTCTGTATGCTTTATTAATACTGAATTTAGTCATCCAGTTGTGTACATTACGCGTTTTAGAATGTCCCAAAACCGTGCCTTGATAAGCATGCACTGACTATTTCGTCCAATTTCAAAACAAAACTCTATGAACTGCTCCACTGTGAACGTATGGAGCTGTATGAACCACTACAATCTGTAAAGTAAACAGGAA